CTGACGTAAGCCCTGGTAATAAATGACGGTTAAAAAATGGTGCGCTGGATGGGCGACGCGTGGCAAGATCCAAGGGTCAGGGTGGCGACTCTTGGTATTCCACCCCTTCAGGCCTATAAATACCCCATCTCAGATTCATTTTTCACCTTTCGACTCTCAGTAATTTTCTCAGACATCCTCGAGATCAAGTATTAAGGTACGAGCTCGAGAACTTAAGTTATTTTCTGTTAGAATAGAATAGTTGCATCCTCGGGGTATTATGTCGTCGAGTAGCGATGATAGTTCGTCGTCGTCCTCAGGAACAGTTCCTGAGGACCATGGAGGGTCGATAGTTCCTATGGCCATTCCCATTAATGTACATCCTCGAGCCCAATCAGTTCCAACCCCGTTCACTTATCCCGACCTTCCCTGTAAGTTTAAGGAACACTTAGCAATTGCTTGTGCTCGGGAATATAAGGTAATGCCGGGCTGTGACGTTAGGTGTCCTGAACCTGAGGATAGGATGGTTATAGCTCGGGATAAGGAGTTTGTTATTTTTAGGGATACATTGAAGGCGGGTTTTAGGTGGCCCCTGCATCCCTTCTTCCTTGCGCTCCTGGTCGAGTACAATATGTGCCCGGGTCAGTTGGTGCCAAATGGGTGGAGGATGTTAACTTATTTCTTCATCGCTTGTAGATACCTAGGGATAGTCCCATATCTCGACCTATGTAGAATGGTCTTCGACCTAAAACAGCTCCCCCAATTCACTTGTTTTGCCTACCTTTCAACCCGAGGAGGTTTTAAAGTCCCTAGGCTGCCTACTTCTCTAAAGGGCTGGAAAGAGAAGTGGTTTTATGTTATTCCTCGAGATGACGACCTTCCTTTTAGTCCTCGGTGGGGATTTCCTGATACGTCGAGCTTTTGCGAGGGCCAAGCATACTTTGAGTCTCTGGAGAGGGATAGACTTAGGTTAGAGAATCTCGAGCCCCTTGTGTACGACATAGATGACATTCTCGGGGAAGACATCCTCGATCTGGCAGAGATGAAGGGCCTCGAGGGTAGGGCTTGCTCATTTCTTTTGTTTGAATTATACTGAGGACATTGTAGCTCGAGCTAATGTATTTGCTGTGTGCAGAAATGACGTTCGACCCAAGTGCACTACGACAAGCCGTCGGGAGCAAGAGCAGGGCTCCTCAAGTCCGGGCCCCTGGGCAGAAGAAAGGACAGAAGAGACCTCGGGATTCGAGGTATGATCAAGCTGCAAGTGGCCCAGGAGAGTCGTCGAGAGCCAACGTCTCGTCTTCGAGGTCGGGCAGACCTACAGCAGACCATCAGCCGTCTCCAGCAACTGCTCGAGGATCTTCTACACCTCGAGCTGAGGCTGTGGTCGTGGATCTCGATGATGAGGTCATTCCCCCGCGCCCTGTACCTCTGGAAGAAAGGGACTTATGCCGCCTCGTCCCCGGCATTGTTGACAAGTATATGGGAGATAAGGGTCCTGAGGATGGTGTGCTCGAGGTCCTACTTACTAAGGTGAGCTCGAGGCGTTCTTTTTTGTTTCTGGATTTTATTTCATCTTTATTTCTCGATGACGAGCTTGTGCGATGGATTACAGGCCTTGAGTGTTGCCCGATGACTCACTTTGAAGGGGGCTGAGGGCTCCCGGAAACTGGTCGGTCTCCTCGAGGATGTCAAGGCTCGGGATCAGCAGATTGCTGAGTTGAAGGCCGAGCACGCCCTCCTCTCGAGGGAGCGTGATGAAGCCAAGGCCGAGCTCCAAAAGGCTCGGGATGATGCAGGCTCGTTCCGCGACGAGGCCGAGGAGCTAAGGCTGGAGCTCGAGCGTGCCCAAAGGGACTTCGAGGAAAAGCTATTGGGTGCCCGAGAAGAAGCAACTGAAGACTTCAAGGCATCCGATGAATTCAAAAAACTGCAGGGCGAGTACGGCGTGGGCTCGTACTTTCACGCGTTAAAAGAAGCCCGAGCATTTATGCGCTCGAGGCCAGAAGCTAGGCCCGAGGATCTGAAAGGCATCCCGGAAGTCGCCGAACAGCTCGAGCTCTCTGATGATGAGGAGGCCGAGGAGGACCAGGAGGTGGACGTTGACGGGGAAGGAGTGGAGGCTGATCCCCCGACGTCCTTGGCTGCCCCCGATGCTGGGGATCTAGACTAGGAGCCCTAGTAATAGGCCTGTATTTTTTGTACGAGCATTTGCTCGAAAACATTGTAGTACTCTCTGTTTTTGCTATGTTATGTTCTCGACCCATTTTGACGTGTTTTTCACCCGAGGATGTGAAGAAGAATATCTTCGATTACTACAAGAATTGTAAACTCGACGACAATTTAAGAAATCAAAAGCTCGATGATAATTAAGAACTTAAA